AAGCATTTTAAAATTCTCTCTATATCGTGCAATTCGCTTATCTTGTCACCACTGTCTTCTCACTGCAAGAATGTGCGCTATCACCAATGGAATTATACCAACGTCCAACTTTCCGTCGGTGATACTGACGGATTTCCAACGATTTTCCCTTATTATTTATTTATATAAAAAAGGAAAGATTTACCAACGAAATTAGAAACCTTATCAGTCGTGGGTTGATTTTTCGTTGGTAATCCATTGGTGAAGTGAATAAAAATAATTCTAAAATAAAAATTAATATTAATAACGATTTTATCAGCAGCCCTTACGTCTTACTAAAAAATAAATTAATAAATTATAAATTACCAACAGAATCAGTGGCTCCCTACATTCCGTTAAGGATTCCATTGGTAAATCGTTGGTCCGTTAGTAAATCCATTAGAAAAAAAAAAACCAAAATCGAAAATAATTTTGTTACAACTTCTTAAAACCTAGATCTCCATACTTTCTCAATCCACCGCTCCATCACTTCTTAATCCACATCGCTAGTAATCGAAATCCTTTCTACAAGTCAGATCAATGTTGCTTCTATAATAGATACCCAGATCTCCATACTTGATAGGTCGCCAGTTCTCCAAACCTGTTGAATTGAGTGCTTCATCCAGTGACAGACCAAGAATCACTATATCTTCTATAATAGATACCCAGATCTTCATACTTCACAGGTATGCATTATGTACAAATCTAACTCTTTATTTTCAGAACAATATTTTGTTTAGTGTCAAATTCTGTTATTATAAATTCATATTCCTTTCACAAAGAAATAAAAACCATGCTTCTTTATATGATACATGGTAGAAAAATGTGCAAAAAATTTGTCTACATAGGAATTATGTCATAAGTTGCTCCAATATATTAATGAGATTGAAATGGATGAAGTGGCCTTTTGTTGAGGTTATAAAATTATCTTCACCTAATCAGAAAATAATAGGAAAGGAAATAAATAGTTGGACAACAAAAATAAATCTAATAAGGATATGGAGAATGATAAAACAAAAAGAAAGATAAAACCAAAAGAAAACCAAAAGGGAACATAAATGAAGCTCAGCCTATATTATGTTTGAGGTTAAAAAATCATTTGACTATAAAGGAAACTATATAAGCATCCATGAACTAATTTTGGTCATAGTAACGCTCTCTCTTTCTCTCCTGTGCGAAAATCACAGAGGCGATTTTGGGCGATTGAGTTAGGTTTTTTCTTGCTGTCGTCGGAATGACGGCTCCTCCCTGGATGGGCCTTTCGGTAACGACGGGCACAATGGGAGAGACGTCGATGGGACCTACTAGCCACCGTGGTTAAATAAGGACGATCTTTCTTGGAGGCTGCAAAACAATCTGTGGATGGGGTAATTCCAGCGAGTCCGCCGCTGCAACTGAGGAGACCAGAGTTGATTGAAGGAGAACTGGGCATTATCTTCACGGATGAAGAGGTTAAGCGTTTGGTAGAGGATTTCAGATTTTCCTTAGTTCTTAAATTCCTATCCTTTAGACCAAACATTGATCTGGTTCGGGCAGCCATAGCCAAAACTTGGGGGCTGTGGGAGGTTCCTGTGGTTAGTCAAATGGATGCTTCACATGTCTTAGTAAACTTGAAAAATGAGGGTGATTTCTTGCATGCCTAGGCGAGTGAAGGTAGGTTTGTGGCTGGTGCTTCATTCAGGCTTTTCAAGTGGACTCCAGATTTTGATTTCTGTAAGGAGTCATCATTGGCTCCTCAATGGATTTTTCTACCTGGACTTCCATTGCATCTTTATCGGTAGGATTGCCTTCGTATCCTAGCAACACGATTTGGTCGATACTTGGGTATAGATCACACTAGTGCTTATATCTCTGTAGAGATTGATTTATTGGCTGATGTAGTAGAATGTTTTCCGATCACAGTGGGTTCGATGACCCTTTGGAACATGTTAAGTATGGAAAATTTGGCTTTTATTGTAAGAAATGCAAGAGGCAGGGTCACACAGAGGCTTTTTGTCGAGTGGGTCAACAATTTCACGAGAAGCAGAAAAGGAAGAAAATTGTAACCATTGGCCCGGAAAAACAAGAGTGGAGGAAAAAATCTGGCAACGTAGGTAGTGGTGTGGAAATGGAAAAACAATATTTACAGGTGGGTGGAGTTTTGACAAAGTTGGATGCTAGTATATTTACTGGCATAGTCCATGAGCTGAGAAGTGATAAAACAGAAAAGGTTGGTGAAAGTAGTAGAGGAATAAAGCTAATTGTGGATAATGATGAGGAGAAAATGGAGACTGAATTGGGAAGGGATAGAAATATGGATGAGGATGGAACTGTAGCTTCGAAGACTTGTGGGATCGAAATTGCTGAACTTGGAGAAGGCACTCACATGGCACCTTTAGGTGGGGTTTATTTGGTGGATGGGGAGCAAGCAAGGGAAGAAGGAGAAATAGAGGACATAGATATGATCTTAAATGGAGATATTATGGCCACGATCGAGGATAACGAACAAACAAATGTAATGGCCACGCATATTATGTTAATGACAGAAGAAGATCAAGGGGTCAAAGAAAATGCTGAGGAATTACAAGAGGACTCTAGGGATCATGGTAGTGTAGATAAGGTTATGACATTGTCTGATAAAGAGGTTGAAGGAATGGTGGAGGAATTGGGAAATATTCGTGATTGCATTTCAGACTTTGAACAGAGGGCCAAAGGACACCACATGAAAATAGTTCATAAGGTTAGAAGCTCTTCCAGGGTTCCAAGCAGACCATCTAGACTCAATATATGAGTTGCAACTATCTCTTTGGAACGTGCAAGGTGTAGGGACCTGACACGCAGGTTACGAAAGTTGGTGAGAAGGCACATAAACCGAAAATAGTAGCGATAGCGGAGCCTTGGCAAACGGCAGATAGAATGGTCATTTTACAGAGGAAACTAAACTTTAATTTTGGCTTATCGGACAGTGATATGGAAGGAGAACTTTGGATCATGTCGGATCATGAAGTACATGTTAATTTAATAAGTAAAAGTAACCAACATATCACTTGTCTGGTGACAGAAGGTACTTACTAGATGCTGGTTTCTTTTATTTATGCGAAATACACTGTTGCGGTCAGATTTAGAAGAGGTGAATCATTCACAAGTTCCTTGGGTAGTGGTTAGAGATTTTAATAATATCAGAAATAATTTAGAAAGGCATGGAGGCTGTCCTCGACCAATGGGTGCTATGGAGGACTTCAATCAGTTTATTGATAATTTTGGGTTGACTAAAATACCGCCAGATGGTGGGAAATTTTTTTCCCTGGTGTAATGGTCAAACAGGCTGGAGTAAGAGTTGGGCCAAATTGGATAGATTATTGCTTGATTCTAATTGCTTGGAGAAATTTCCAAATCTTCATATGAGATATTTATCTCATACCACGTCGGACCATGCACCAATGTTGATCTGGCTACAGTCTCATATGACTCGTTATGGCCCTACACCGTTTCAATTAAAACAAGTGTGGACTACACATGTGAGCTTTAAGGATTGTATACTAAAGATATGAAAAGGAAACTCAGATGAAAGTGGTCTATGGCGCCAGCTGGAAAACTAAAAAGGTTGAGGACTGCACTACATATATGGAACAAAGAGGTGTTTGGGTGGACACAGGAACACATTTAGCTGCTCGAAAAAGAGTTAGAAGAGTTGGATACTAGCCTACAAGTGGCTCACTCAGAGGAAATTGAATATACATATTTAGCTACAAAAGTAGAACTTGACACTTGGGAGAAGAGGGAAGGAATGCCCCTAGCAAAAATAGCAAAGTAGATGTGGATTGAGAAAGGTGAAGTCAGTCATCAGTTTTTTAAACAGTTTACTGGCAGGACCTCTTACAGTGTCAAGACGATGAGACTAAGGGATGGTACGGTGCTTGATAATCATGAGACGATCCATCACGCAGCAGTTGATTATTTTCAAAATTTCTTAGGAGCTAGACCCAGGAGAGACCAACCAGACCTATCAGCCTAGATTTTAACATATTATTTCAGAGGTAGAGAATGAGGAAATTAGGAGGTTACCTACTCCCCAGGAGGTCAAAGATGTAGGTTTTTCTATCCCAATGGACAGTAGCCCTGGTCCTGATGGATTTGGCTCGGGATTCTATAAATCTTGTTGGGATATAGTGGGTAAGGATGTCGTAGAGGCAGTGTGCGATTTTTTTCGAGGTACGGATATCCCGTGATTCTACTCCTCCTCTTATGTGGTCCATCGTTGTCACGGCATAGCAATGACTCATGTAGGGCTCGTCGAGACGATTCTGAAAACATATTATAATAGTCATGCTGACACCGTTTGCAATTTCTAGAGCCATTCGAAGTTGAATCACATTCGAATCACTTGTTATGATCCCGACGCTCCAAAAAGCCAATGTTTTGTTTTCATTTTGACTTATCATAGTTGTAATCCAATTTGATGAGGGAAATGATTTTTTTTTATAATATTAGTGTTGTATTGGATCTAATTGAAAAGGTTACAAACCCTTCTTAAGAAATTTGTGGCAAACATTTTTCAAACTTTAAGTTCTTATTATTTATTTATTTTAAATTTTTTTTGGTAAAATAGTTTTGGACCTAAGATTAATAATTTTTTATAATATTAAAAAGTTAAAAAAACATAGATAAAATAAAATACTAGGCTTTTGCTATACAATCCATTCAGCTAGAAAACGACCAGCCGAATACTGATTGGATCCAATCAGCTGAAAAACGACAGACCCAAATTCACACTGAAACAAATTCTCGCGCCCTTCTTTCTTCCCAAAGTCCTTCCCAAATTTTCGCTGGATTCGCTCTACAAATTTTACCACTTCCCTCCTATTAGGGTTTTATAAATGTTAAATTATTAATGTCTATTTTTCCCCAAATTTCACCACTTCCCTTTAATTTCTGATTTTTTTCGCATCAATACCGAACCCAAATTTGTTGCATACAATATGCCTACAGTAAGATGACACTTAATGCCAAGAATTCGTAGATTGCAAGATGACGAAGAAGAAGAAGAAGAATATTTTCCTCTATGGAAACAAACTGGATCTGAGCATTCACGTTCTACAGAGGAAGAGAACAATGGATCTTCTGAAAGCAATACAGGTCCCAACCAAGGCACCCAAGTCCGAGTAGATGAGAATGGTCGTATCATCTTAGAAATAGAAGGAGGAAGGTATATAAGCAACATTTTTTCCCATTTTGTTGGTGTTTATTGTTTCATTTTTACCTCATTTTTTTGGGGTCATTGAACGAGGTCTACTGGATTGTGTTGAATGTTAGTTGTTATTGTAGTATTAAGAGATTTTGTAGTTGTATTAATATGTATATAATCAAGTGGATTTCACATAAATACCTCAAAAAATCGTAATTTTAAAATAGATGAATATCAGACATTCAAATTTGGATAGTGTTTAACATTATAATAAAATGAGAATATCATTTGCTGTGTAAAATAGATTCATATGTGGCTCAAGCATTTGACAAAGTTATTGTTGATATTAGATAGTAATTTTGGTTCTGCTTCATAAGGTTGTTGTATGGGTTTGAGGTTTGTCTATTAATGAGCTTTTTAGAGTTAAAGAAGGTTATTGTTAGCTACATGTCAAATGTTCACTAAAAAGTAAAGAGCGAATTGCTGGTGTTAGTCCATAGTAATTAAGTCATTCTTTCATTTTGTGATTTTTCTTTGCAATCCGTTATTTGAATTTTTTCCTCTAAGTGTTTAATATATTGGTTTGTGACTCCCTCCGTACCATGTGATATTACTGATAATATGAAGGTATATCTTGGTGGGCCATTCTTCTTTTTCCGTAAGGTGCCACAACTAACTAAAGACCTGTTGTTTAAAAAATTTCAGGTAACTTGCTGT